TAGCCGTTTCGGAGTCGCCCGGCTCGTTCGGTACACAGCTCGGAATTTCGATGAAAAAAATTAGTTTCACGTATAAAAGTTTTTTCCTCGTATTCTACAGGGTTCAAAGGATTTTTTTAAGCCCAAAAAAAAAATGATTTTTTGAAAATTTTACAGTGGCGTTACCCCTTAATAAAAATTTTGCAGCCACTTCGCTCAACACGTTTCGTTTGGAATTCAGCATACTTTTACTTTGCTGGAAATCATGGCGACCGCTGAACAAACATGTTGAAAAGTTGAGTGCGTTTAGGACTGTTCAGCAGATAATCATAAAACGGTTTCAAAACTGTTGCCTTCTGCTGCGCAATGCTGCCTTACTTTGCTGGAAATCATGGCGACCGCTGAATAAACATGTTGAGTCGCTGAGTGCATTTAGGACCGTTCAGCAGACAATCATAAAACGGTTGCAAAACTGTTGAGTCTGCTGAACGCACCCATTGCATCGATTATTTTCGGATTTGCAACACAAATTTTGAAAAATATTCCCAAATTAAAAATAATCGGCACGCACTCATAAATATATTGGATTAAAAGTATAAAGGGATTTTTTCCCAATCCAATATTTGAAATAAATTTACTTAAAGTACATAATAAACGTTATTTTAATACTTTGATACTAAAATAAACTTTGACCGTTATAGGCGCTTTTTTTTAATACTTAGTTATGATATGTATACATTCATACAAACGATCTTGTTCCTATATAAATTTTATAGCATTTTTATTAGTCATCTTTAATTGTTTCGTAGAAGAAATAACACTTTGTCATACGAAACCTTTTTAATTTCTTTTTTTTATGAAGTTACGAAGATTCCTATAGAACTTATAGATTTTTTGCAATTTAACTTTTTTATAAATATAATTATAATAAATAGATATATAAGATTATCTGTTGATCTTTATTTGCGATGCAAAAATAAAAGAATTATAATTATTAAAAATATAGAAACATTCCACCGGATGAATGAAATTACACAAAGGAATTGTAGTTCTTCATGAAAATTTCTGCAAATTTCAATCCGAAGTGTTAAAATAAAAAAAGAAGTAAAGATAAGGAAATGTAAAGATTATAAATCTTTAAATGATATCACAGTATATAAATTGTGATGATATCTAGTCATATCTAGTCTTATATTCGATAACATGATTTTTTTTATCGACAATCTTACATCCGACCGATTCTCAATTTATTATGAAGTTTTTATCATATGTATCGCAACGAGATTCGAGACACATATATCAAGCGATTATAAGCTTATTGAAATAATTAGAGCGTCTCAACGTGCGCAATCATCCGACAACCTCGATGTCGTGAACAAAAAATCATGGAAAAATAAACACAGATTTTCACGTTGCTCAATTCGCGGATTCGCGCAATTGCTTGTCTATGAACGAGAGCGATAAGTCGACCGAGCGCGAGCGATAAACATAAAAGGATATAAGTATCAGAGCTGTCGCGGAACGATGGAAATCATCTCTTTCCACCCAATTTCTTTCGCGAGGTTAGAGACGAGGGGTCTGACGAAATCGACCTTGCGTCGCGTCACAACGGCCTAGTTGTGACAGCTTTTCGCAATGCCGCGCGCCGAAGATAAAGAGATCGCTGATTCGGTGAACTGCATCGCCGAGTATCTACCTTCAAAACGGTTCAAACATGAAAATTATCCATTAGTTAACGCGGTATCGCGCAACGATGCCATGATTGAAACGTTCCCCATGTTTTATGCCACGAATATATGAAAAAATAATTATATTTTCTTATTATTTCTTTCTTTTTCCCTTTTTTCTAATTATTTCCTTTCTTTGCCAAACAGTTTAATAAAAGACAATCATGTAAAATAAAATCTCATTCGAATTTTCCGCTATTTTAGCTTCTGTGTATCGTGCGCTCCTAATACGTGAACGTAGCTCTTGAAATCTGAATTCGCGACTCATTTCAGTTTGATATACTTTCCCCGTGAAAGGCGGGAACTTTGAATCAGCAATCTCCTCCTAACCTCCTGGTGAATTCTGTTCCCCTGATAACTTTGACGATTTTTCGAAGGTATCGAGCGAAAGCACGTGTTTCAGCTCTCGCCTAACCTCTTGTGCGATTGTTTGAAGAGATGAATTTACATGAATACAGAAATGACTCATCTGTGTATTGTATGAAAAATAAAATAATGTATAGCGTGTATATGTAATGTATATGTATATTATTACACGAATAATGCATATATCATATATTCCAGACAACACAAAATCCAAAATTGAGACATAATTAAGACGTCTTAAAAACGCCTTTTAGACATCTTTGAGACATCTTTTGCAAAAATGCTTTTGCAAAATTCTTTAAAACCCAGTAAACGAGAATGGATTAAAATGGATTGAAATTTGTCTATCCGAATATGTATTTTAAATAGCGAAAACTTTTTTTTGGATTCAATTGGATACAATT